ATTACAGCAGGAGAGGAGTAGGGAGGGCACTGTAGGTGGGAGAACAGTGAGCAGTGGCCCACAGTACAGGGAAGGATAGCTGTGCAGGGGGCAGTTCGGAGAGCAGCTTGGCTGGAGTGAAGGGGTGTGGGGGGGTGATAATAAAGATGAACAACTAGGGTGAGTCTGATTATAGAAGACCTTGAAATTAAGGCAGATATTTGAGATGGTCTGGCCTTTGTAGCAATTGAAGGTTTTTGAAAAAGGGTAACAGTTGTATTTAAGGAAGATTAGGATGGACTGGAGGCAGAAGAAGATGCACTTTTGCTTCATTTCTTGCATTGAATTGTCTACGGTTGCAGACATCTGGCTCTCCTGGCTCTGGAACCGAATCCAGCATCAAGAGGGCACATCCTGAAGTGGGGGGAGAAGGCAGAGGTGTGTATAGGTGACCTTGAACTGTGTTACTACCACTGGCTCTTGATCCTGGAAAGCCCATCTGCCCCCAGCCTTAATTGGTGTTGGTAGTGGGAAGGAGAAAGTGGGGAATGGGAAGGTTATCTTCCCAGGAAAAGATTAAGTAGCTGATTAAATAAGAAAATGTGGGCAAGGGTGGCTCAGACCTAACTCTGTAGACTCTGAGTCTGAGTGACTGAGAGGGTGTTGGCAGCCCCAACAGACCAAAAAGACAGAAAGGAGAGCCGTTGGGTAAGGAGAAGAATTTGAGCTCATTGGGGTTTGCAAGTGGACACATACGAGTGACAACTATCAGTGGGCATGTGGAGCTGCAGGACTGGAGCCCCTCAGGTTGGAAACGGGAAGTCTTGGAGGAGAGCTCCTGGTGAAAGGAGGGAATGGATGAATTTTTGGGGTTAGGCCAGAGAGGAAGGAGCAGAGAGCTGAGAACTGGGTGGTGGTCTGAGAGAAGAAACTTCTCTGGTTACACTGACTCGCCAGGTCCAGCCAGCACCTTGTGAAAGCCTGGCTGGCAGGAATTGCCCCAGATTCCTCCCTCTCACCGCCTGGATATAGGGGCTGCTCTTACCCATGGTGTTTAGGTGTACTTTTCCCCCTAAACCAGCTTCTCCATTACCTGCAGATTATCCTTTTTTATTCAGTAAAGCATGTTTCCTGAACACTTCGTGAGCCGGTTAGAGTTCAGGTACTGTGTGGCCCTGGGTGTACTGAGGCCCCGCTGTGGGCGGACACTGTGCTGGCATAACTGCTTCTCTGCGGTTCCTCATCATTACTGACCCAGAATGGCTGTGGTCTCTACACCACGATTAGCGAAGCTTTGGTCTCCTTGAGTTTTAGCCAGTTATTATTTCTTATTTACTAATTCAAACCATTTGAAGATTGAGTTGATGTCTGACTCTTCTTCAGGGCGAGTAGATGATCCAGAATGCACGCAGTAGGCTTTCTGTGTTTATGTTTAGGTGATTGGAGTGATTTCCCTTGTCCTTTAGAAATCGAGCCGCGTTCCTGTGCCACATGAAGCCCAGTGAGCGGAATCCATCCTCCTCGGGGCCTGCATCTGGGACGTGGACACTAGTAGATGAGGGAGGAGAAGAGGTAAGTCGTCATGTCGACAGCATTTTGATTAATCATTTCTGAGCTCTTCTTTTTATGTGCCAAGTATCGTTCTAAGCACTCCTCACATATTAGCCCATTTAATTCTCCCAACAGCCCCACGAGGCAAGTACTGTTTTCATCCCCCTTTTAGAGATGAGGAAACAGGTGCGGGTGGGGTTGAGGGAATTTGTCCCAAATCACATGTCATTAAACGCAGAGCCTGTGCTCTGAGCCAGTGTCTCTGCTGCCACCCTTCTCTAGACCATCTCCCTGTGCAGCTGGGAGAGTCTGGAGCCTGGAAGTGTTTACATATTATGTACACTTTCTATTAGGATTTTATTTTATGCAGCAACAGTTTTCTGGGCTTGAGGTCTCACCTACAGATACTCTGAGTCTGTATAACAAAGAGCTGTATCTTACCAAGGTTCTGCCTTAACGCTTACAAACTTCTTATCTAGATCTTCTCATTTAAAAGATGGAAGATAATTTTCTGTTTTTGGTGAGAATTTAATGATCAAAACTCAGTTTCTTGGGAATTCCCTGGCGGTCCAGTGGTTGGGGCTCTGTGCTGCCACCGCAGGGGGCCCGGGTTCGATCCCTGGTCAGGGAGCTAAGATCCCACATGCTGCACAACATTGGCCAAAACAAACAAACGAAGAAACCCCACGAAACAAACAAACAAATCCCCAGTTTCTCAAGATAACATTTATTGACTTTTTCTTTCTACTATATATGTCGTTAGTGTATTGGTAAGGCATTTTTTTTTCCAGCTAGTTATCGGCCCTATCTAATGTGTTTTTATGGTCCAAATCCTGATTTGATGTGTTTGTCCAAGGTTGGCCAGGGACTAAATTTACTGAAACCTCTTCTCTTCAAAAGGAGTTGAAAGTTTGCAGTGGACACTCCTTAGAATAACAGCATGGCAGCTGTGGGATCATGTCTGTGTATTTACCCAGGTGTTCATTCAGAAGCAGGAGCCCCTTCACACTCATTGTGCTCTTCCTGGGACTTGTAGGAGGTGGTGAGATGATGGTAAATGATGTGGCCATGCAGACTTCTTTGCTAGAGATTGAACAGTCATCTGGAGACAGCTTCTCAGGAGCTGGTACAAATTGGTTTTTTTTTAAATTTTTTTTTGGGCCTTGCCACACGCCATGTGGGATCTTAGTTCCCCGACCAAGGATTGAACCTGTGTCCTCTGCATCACTGCATTGGAAATGCCAAGTCTTAACCCCTGGACTGCCAGGGAAGTCCCAAATTGCTCTTTTAAAGATTGTGATGGAGCAGGGTTTTTTTTTCTTCCAAGACTGGTTTCTCCTAAGAGAGGAGTCTTTTTTTCTGGTAGGTTTCCTGCGTTTAATCCTAAAGACAGGTAATCGTTAAGGACTCTGGAATTGTGTCTGGCTCCTGGTTAGCACTCACTGGATGTTGAGTGGATTCAGGAGCCTGGGGAGAGAAGGCTGGGAGTGCTGTTGACTCAGAAAAGGCCATGGGTGGAAGGCACTGTGAATCGTCCATGTCAGTGGTTTCTTGACACCGGCTGTATATTAGAACCACCTGGGCAACTTAAAAGCCTTGCTCCGGCCCACACCCAGACGTCCAAATGTTTAAAAGCCTCCATGGTTAATTCTGATGTATAGCTGGAGCTGAGGACTGCTCAAGGTAGAATTTCTGAGGCTTTTGTTTGCTAGCCATTTAGGACATGTAAGAGGGTAAAAATGAGTGGCTTCAGGAAATTATGAATGAATTGCATTAGTCCCTTGTTGAAACTGAGGTGATAATTCTTTAGAATCTCTGCATCTTTTTACAGTATTCCCTTTTGAATGTAGCACATCTTAGGACACAAATCATTTTGGTTTCTAAGGAGACTTTAGTGCTCTGTATCAAACAAAAAACTCCACCTATTTCCCCTATGTGATCCATCCCTGTGTATGGCCACTGTTATTTTTATCCTGTTTTCAGCAACACTAATTGACAACAGAACTTTGGTTATCCATAGCAAATGCTAATTGCTTCTTGGTAAGTCAGTTGAGTACGGCAGTAGACCTAATTTTGGGGCAAGAAGAGGCTTCTGGATAAAATAACTTGGACTCTTAGTGAATGGTTCTTTAATTGATGTTGTCAAATCACTGAGATTTATAGTAAGATCCCTATTCTAGAGGAATTATTTTTCATCTTCTTTGGGATGGAAATTTAATTGAGAGCGGTTTCAGCCGCTGAAGAATGGATATGACTCAGATACACATAAAATTGTGCTTGAAATTTTAAGGGATTTACAGGTCATCTAATAGAACTGACAGTATAAATCTCTGTCCTGGAGGAGAAGTCCACGAGGACTCATGAGAATACCACACGTGTACCACTGAGACCCGTGGTAATTCAGCTCCTGTAACTCTAGACCATGGTGTCATCTGGTCAAATCAGCTGACATGATTCTGCATCTTTTCCCTTAGGATGAAGACCCTGAGACTAGTTGGATTCTCCTTAATGAAGATGACTTGGTTATCCTTCTATCACAGTTCCCATTTCATGAACTCTTTCAACATCTCCTTGGGTTTAAAGCAAAAGGTAGACTAATTCGTTTTGTCATGTGTAAAATGTGGTAGGGAGAAGCTCAAACACAGGAACTTAGCACCAAGTCTTGTCTCGTGCAGGCTCCTGGTTCGGGTTCCCTGTGCCTGGCTGTACTATACAGAGATGATTACATCACCGTGGCGAGGCTTCCTTCCTTTCTCTTGTGATTGAAGTTTCCTCCCTGGTGCTTACATGCATAAGGTTGACCAGCTTGCACATAGTCCAGCTTTAATAAATGGTTTTAATTTTGCACTTTGTCTCAAGTTTCCCATTTTATATTGACATAGGAGCCAGAGCAATGGGGATTCTCTATCTTGGCTTTCTTTCCTCATTAATATACTGACATCCACATCTTTCAGTGTTTTTCCATAGTAATTATAATTTTTTTCCTTTTCTTTGATTAATTTCTAGGTGATTATTTACCTGAAACAACAATACCTCAAGAGATGATGAAAATTTTTGCCTTTGCTAACTCCTTAGTGGAACTTCTGGCTGTGGGTTTAGAAACCTTCAATAGAGCACGCTATAGGCAGTTTGTCAAGCGAATTGGTTATTTGATCAGGTAATACTGCTCTTAATTCATCTGTTTCTGTTAACTTTCACCCTGGTCAGTCACAGACACTGTATAATTGGGATGATGGGCATTGTAGTGGTATAGTTCAGGTCTTATTTCTCATAAAAGTAAGAATTTTTTTTCTTCACCATCTACCTCTTGGGAATTTTAAATAAATCCTTCCAGTCAGAATATTTGGTTAATTATCTCAAATCTCAAACTGGTTTGCTAGACAGTTGTTCTTGGAGTCTAGATCCTCAGAGCAGCTGCTGGGTTGAACTTGGCCAGAGAGAAAGGGTCAAAGAAAATACAGGGTCTTTCCCCTTCCTTTACTCTCTTCTATCTCCTAGCTTTTGCCTGGGAATTGTCATGTAGCTGTGGAAAATTGGCAGTAGCTCTTTTGCATTATTATTTCTCTGTTTTATCTCTTATTTACTGTAATTGTAATTTCTATAAAATACCACTTAAAGAAAATTGCAAAGATTTCATCAGTGGCCACTGTATTGGAATTGGGAAAGCATTATCATTTATTTGCATGAAAGGTAGGTTTATGTTTTTACTATCAAATATGAGTAAATTCTGAGAAATGCACTGCTTTTCATTGAATTAATTTTGTATCTTCTTTTCTGTATCATCAATTTTTCTGTCTTTACAGTGTATATAAATACACTGCTATTTCTTCCAACCTCCCTTACCTTGAAAGAAAACTTCCAAAAAACTGTAAAACTTCTCCCACTCCCATACTTTTGTTTCCAAAACATAATTGACATTAATTATTTTAGATACGTATCCTTCAGCTTCATAAAGCCAGGTAAATGATATAGGATGCCCTGAAATTCTTGAACTCTCCACAGTCAGGCTTTTGCCCCCAACACTACCCAAATAGCTCTGAAGAATGAAGGTTGCTAATGAACTTTGTGCTACTAACTAATCCAATGGCCACCTCTCAGTCTTCATCTTTACCTCTCACACAGTTCACACGGCAGCCTTTGTCATGATTGGTCACTTTTCCTTAAAGCATTTTCTTTGCTTGACTTCCAGGATACCATGTTCTCCTGGTTTCTCCTTGGTTTCACTGGCTGTTCATTTTCTGCCTCCTTGGTTGTTTCATTCTCACCTCCCAGACTTCTTAATGTTGGAATGCCTCAGGGCTTCATCCCTGGACCTCTTTATCCAAACTTGTTTCTTGGGATTCCATCTATTCTAATGTCTTTAAATATCATCTAAATACAGTTAAAATTCCTAGTTCTATTTCCAGCCTATACCTTTCTTGTAAACTTGTATATCCAGCTGCCCAGTCGGCACCTCCACTTGGATGACTCATGATCATCATTATAGTTTAATAATCCCCAAATGGGCCCTCTTTCCCCACCTCTCAAACTGCTCCTCTCACAGTCTTGTCAGCCTCAGTAAGTGGCAACTTTATTCTTCCAGTTGCTCGGGCCGGAGCATTGGCATCATCCCTGGCTTTTCTTTTTACACCCCTCACCCAACCTGATGGTCAAAACACCATCTTTCATCAAACCTAAGGTATATTTTGTGCACCACTAAGAAGGAAAAAATGCTGCCAAATGATGGCATGTCATCAATTTTAATGACATTCCAGTTGTAGAGATTAAAGCATGAAAGGTGTGCATCCTTTGAGTCAATGAAACCTGCTATTTCTAGAATCCAGCCTCTTCTCACCATGTTCACTGTTACCACCATAGTTCATCTTTAGTAATTTCTCACCGATTAGCACAACAGCCACCTGACTTGTTTTCCTGCTTTTGCCCTTGCTCCCTTGCGCACCCCACCCCCAGCTTATTCTCAGAACAGCCGCCAGTGTTTCTTGTAAATCACTCCTCTGCTCACACCCTGCTGCTTCCAGGCTCATTCCGAGTAGAAGCCAGAGTGTTCACAGTGGCGTACAGGACCCTTCATGGTCTGCTTTCCTGTCACGTTTTTGATTTCCTCTCCAGCCATTCTCTCCCTCACTCACTTTGCGTTAGCACGTTGGCTGCCTTGCTGTTCCTCCAACATACCGACCGCCGCTCGGAGCCTTCGCACTGGTTGCTTCTTCTACCTGGCTGCTCTTCCCTTAGGTAGTCCTAAGACTGCGTCCGGTCTTTACTCACGTGTCTCGCTTCAGTGAGGCCCCTCCTCCCCCACACTCCAGAGAAACTTCATTTCCCTCTCCTACTGATTTTTCTCAGTGTCATTTATAACCATGTGACAGACTGCATATTTTACTTTATTTGGCTTATTGTCTGTTTGCCTTCCACTAAATGTAAGCTCCATGAGGGTAGGGTTTTTTCCCTCCACTGCATCCCCTTTAGAGCCTAGAAGATAGTGAGTGCTCAGTAAATATGTGTTGAATAAAGTCATGCTGCAAATGTAATGTAAAGGTGTTGAGTGCCTTCATGCAAAGTGCTGCATTGTCTTTCCTCACGCTCAGGATGATCCTTGGTTATGTGAGTGACCACTGGGCCCAGTATGTGAGCCACAACCAAGGCTCGGGATTGGCCCTGCAGCCCTACTCTGTGGAGAAACTACAGGTTGAGTTTGATGAGCTCTTTTTGAGAGCTGTACTACATGTGCTGAAAGCCAAAAGGTAAGAAGTGTGATGATAATTGTTGAGAAATAGCTCCCTGGCTAGTAAGAAAGGTTGGAGTGAAAGTCACTGACTGAAGGAGAACTCTTACAATAGTGTCAATGTATTTCATCTATTTCTTATCTTGGCTTAATTCTTGGGCTTTAGTTTCCTTTTGTGTAGTAATACCTGAAATGATCTCCCTTTCAGGTTTCTTTCAGTTTCTCCTGAACTTTTGAGGTAACTTTGACCAGGGGATGAATTGTATTTCATGCCCAACTCTAGGGCCTGCAGTGAGGCAGAGTAGGCACTCAGTACATTGTGCAAGTTGTCTTACTCTGTGGGTATTAAGGTCTAGGACTATCTTGGGTCCGGGTCCCCTGTCTTGGCTGTGTTCTGATCATGCCGTCTTTGCTGCTGCTTACAGCCTAGGATACATTTGAGGCAGAGGTGGGGGCATGGCAGCTCATCCTGCACTATGTTCCCTGAGCTCCTGGCCAAGTGTGGGAGCAGGTTCTGCTGCAGCACTGTGCCCTCCGAGAGGAGATGGGTGGCCTCCCGCCCCACCCGGCTCCACCCATGAACTACTGCCCACCCCCCACTCCCCACTCCTGCTGCCTTCTGAGCTGTTGACATGCTTGCCATAAGCCTCATAGTCTCAGCCCCTTATTTTTATTTTTTTTGCATCTTTAATAGATCTTTATCGGAGTATGATAAAGTTAAAGCTGCACAGTACTGTGTTAGTTTCTCTTGTACACCAGAGTGAATCAGCCATAAGCATACACATGTCCCCATATCCCCTCCCTCCCATCCTCCCTGTCCCACCCCTCTGGGTCATCGCAAAGCACCGAGCCGATCTCCCTGTGCTATGCGGCTGCTTCCCACCAGCCAACTATTTTACATTCGGTAGTGTATATATGTCAGTGCTACTCTCACTTCGCCCCAGCTTTGCCCTCCCACCCCATGTCCTCAAGTCCATTCTCTATGTCCACCTCTTTATTCCTGCCCTGCAACTAGGTTCATCAGTACCATTTTTTTTTTTTTTTTTTAGATTCCATATATATGCGTTAGCATACAGTATTTGTTTTTCTCTTTCTGACTTCCTGCACTCTGTATGACAGTGTCTAGGTCCATCCACCTCACTACAAATAACTCAATTTCGTTTCTTTTTATGCCTGAGTAATATTCCATTGTATATATGTGCCACATCTTCTTTATCCATTCATCTGTTGATGGACAGTTAGGTTGCTTCCATGTCCTGGCTATTGTAAATAGAGCTGCAATGAATATTGTGGTACGTGTCTCTTTTTGAATTATGGTTTTCTCAGGGTATATGCCCAGTAGTGGGATTGCTGGGTCACATGGTAGTTCTATTTTTAGTTTTTTAAGGAACCTCCATACTGTTCTCCATAGTGGCTGTATCAATTTACATTCCCATCCACAGTGCAGGAGGGTTCCCTTTTCACCACACCCTTTCCAGCATTTATTGTTTCTAGATTTTTTGATACTGGCCATTTTGACTGGCGTGAGCTGATATCTCATTGTAGTTTTGATTTGCATTTCTCTAATAATTAGTGATGTTGAGCATGTTTTCATGTACCTCTTGGCCATCTGTATGTCTTCCTTGGTGAAATGTCTATTTAGGTCTTCCGCCCATTTTTTAACTGGATTGTTTGTTTTTTGATATTGAGCTCCATGAGCTGTTGGTATATTTTGGAGATTAACCCTTTGTTGTTTCACTTGCAGATATTTTCTCCCATTCTGAGGGTTGTCTTTTTGTTTTGTTTATGGTTTCCTTTGCTGTGCAAAAGCTTTTAAGTTTCATTAAGTCCCATTTGTTTATTTTTGTTTTTATTTCCGTTACTCTAGGAGGTGGGTCAAAAAGGATGTTGCTGTGGTTTATGTCAAAGAGTGTTTTTCCTATGTTTTCCTCTAAGAGTTTTATAGTGTCTGGTCTTACATTTAGGTCTTTCATCCATTTGGAGTTTATTTTTCTGTATGGTGTTAGGTAGTATTCTAATTTCATTCTTTTACATGTAGCTGTCCAGTTTTCCCAGCACCACTTATTGAAGAGGCTGTCTTTTTTCCATTGTATGTTCTTGCCTCCTTTGTCATAAATTAGGTGACCATATGTGCGTGGGTTTATCTCTGAGCTTTCTATCCTGTACCATTGATCTATATTCTGTTTTTGTGCTAGTACCATATTGTCTTGATTATGGTAGCTTTGTGGTATAGATTGAAGTCCTCCAGCTCTGTTTTTCTTTCTCAAGATTGCTTTGGCTATTTGGGATCTTTTGTGTTTCCATACGAATTGTAAAATTTTTAGTTTTAATCCTGTGAAGAATGCCATTGGTAGTTTGATAGAGATTGCATTGAATCTGTAGATTGCTTTAGGTAGTATAGTCATTTTCGCACAAAAGACTTGTACTCAGAAAACTATAAAACACTGATGAAAGAAATCAAAGATGACCTAAACAGATGGAAAAATATACCATGTTCTTGGATTGGAAGAATCAGCCCCTTATTTATGTGTGTTGTGTAGTGGGTTTGAGTACTGGTCTGCCAAGACTGTTACTTTGGGCAAGTCACTTAATATTTGTGGTCTCACTCTGTTCATCTATAAAGTGGAGATGATGATGGCGATCCTACCCATAGATCTCATGGGTATAAGGATGAAATGCAATCATATGTGGAAAGACTTTTTAAACCATAAAGGATTTCCCAAATGTAGGTGGTGGTTGTTTTTGTGTAGTTTCAGATGGGGAACAGAAAAACTGCTGATTTAGAGAAAGGTCAGGACTCTGTCTTAAAACTACTGTTAGGCACTCAGAAGGTGTGGGTCTAAGATAAAGAGAACTTGGGCTTAGAAATTTATCTTTAGATTATGCTTGTCCATAATTTGGTGGTCTCACAAGGTGTACCAAATCCTGTGCAGAACTCTGCCAGGAGTGCAACGCAGTAGCACCTGCTCACTGAAGCTTGCCTGGTGCTCGGGAAAAGTCTTGCATCTCTGATCTCCTGTCACCCGATCTTGTGTTTGTTTAGCTGAGAGGCAAAGCTTTTCTAGAGGAAATTCTCTGGTTCCTTGCTAGGTCCTATACACTGAGTTGTGAGCCCCTCCTGTAATATTATATATGTAATTCACACAAATAATTGTTTTAAATTTGAAAATGCTGAGAGCTATTGTTCTTGAGTATAGTTTATTTTAGAAATACATCGTATGAGAACCAGGTATTTAAAGTCATGAAATTTAAATTTATTTGGCACTCCAGTGGAAATTTCTGACAGTAGCTATACCCCCAACCTAAAACAAAACAAACCCAAACCAAAAGATAGACAACAAAGACCTAAGCCAGACTTACCTCATGTCTGCCATATAGGAAATTTTGTAGCTGGAAATATTTACTGTCTTATGACATTACTTTTAAGGCCTCATTATTTTGGGATCCTTTATACAAGAACATCAAGTCCCATCTGAGGTGTTGGGATAATTATTTAGTAAGACAGAAGCCTGACCCACTTGAACTTAGAGAAGTCTCTTTAACTCTGGCTCAGTTATCTAGCTGTTGCTTTTCAGAGTCGAGGTCAGTGGTGGTTCAGACCACTAGTGGCCTGGTGGGCCGCAGACATGGGTTAAGCATGCACTATTTAATTTCTTTTTTTCTTAATAAACATTATTTATAATTGGTTGAATTATAGTTTTGCCCAAAATACAGCAACAGTTTTGAGTACCTCCCTGTTTTTCTTTATCAGATTTTTTTATTGAGATAAAATTCATGTAACAAAATATTATTAAGCATTTATTGAGTATTGATTGTTTTTGAGATACTGGTTTAGGTACTGGATAATGAAAAAAAGATTCAGGGTTACACACTGGTTTATGCAAAGACTTGGTCTCTGCTCTCAAATTGCTGTACACTAGTATGTGTCTATAAATTACACATTTATGTCTCTCAATGTGTGGTTTAAGGACGACTTGAGTCTGAGTCATCTGGGGTGACTAAAAAGGTACAGATTCTTGGGCCCCAGCTGTGACCTGCACTCTCAGAATCTCTTAGGTGGGCCTTAGGATTCTGCATTTTCCACAAAGTCTCAGGGGATTTTTCTGCCCACTGTGGTGTGAGAAACACTGATAAAAGGGTAATGCCATAGTCAAGTATGGTTAGAATTTCATAATAGTGCTGAGGAGGACATCACGGGAGGGCTTCACAAATGGAGGGATGGCAGCTTGGAGTTGGGGAGTTCTCTCCAGGCTTGTCCAGGAGTGGTCTATATGAATGCAGAGAGGGCTGTGGTTGGGAATATGGGTCTGAGCTATTTTGTGGAAGGCTTTGAACTTGGAGCTTGAAGGAGTTTGAACTTCATTTGGTGATGAGTGAGGAGTCATGGAGGGCTTTTTTTTTTGTGGTACATGGGCCTCTCACTGTTGTGGCCTCTCCTGTTGCAGAGCACAGGCTCCGGACGCACAGGCTCCGGACGTGCAGGCTCAGCGGCCATGGCTCACGGGCCCAGCCGCTCCGCAGCACGTGGGATCTTCCTGGACTGGGGCCCGAACCCATGTCCCCTGCATCAGCAGGCGGACTCTCAACCACTGCGCCACCAGGGAAGCACCATGGAGGGCTTTTGATTCCCCTTCTCCCCCCAGCCCCCAACTGCACGTGTCTCTGTGTGTACACATGTACCTGTGCGCATGCTCAGACACATACATACATCCAGTCTAAGCAGCCTCTCTGTTGCCCGGATCTTAAAAGGATCTTTGGTTCAACACCCAATTCTGCCTCTTATTATCCTCTGTGTTCTAGTAGCCTCATGTGTAAATTGGGGATAATGTCAATAATAGTGCTTGCCTTGGTTATAGTGAGGATGGAATGAGCTGATAAATAGATGATGTGGTGATAGAACAGTGCCTGGCATAGACTAAGCGCTTTATGTGTATTTGCTGTTACTGTTATCCATTCTCTAGGTGTTTATGACTGAAGCATGGTAGAAAATTGCTGTAGTGTGATTTAAGAATTTAAGAATATTTTTGTCTACGTACTCAGTATGGTGAAGTTGACTGATACATAAAATTATTCCTGCTTTTCTGAAAACTTGCAGACTTGGCATTTGGCTGTTTATGTCGGAAATGCCCTTCGGGACACTGTCTGTTCAGATGCTCTGGAAGCTCTTCTATCTCATGCACCAGGTGGGGAGCGGGAATCTGGAAAAGCTCTGTACTGCCCTCCTGCCTGCCGAGTGTAAGAAGCGCCTCCAAGGTACAGCCAAAATATGGAGCATCCACCTTTCCTACCTTGTGTGCCTTTTCTCTTCATGGCTTTATTCTTTTTGCTTTTAGAAGGACTGAGAGAGAATGTTTTACTCTGTACTCATGTGTAATCATTGTGAAATTTAAGACTGCTCTGTCGTTTGACTTACTAGAATGGTGGTTCCAATTTCCATTATTCTTCAAATGCTCTGGATAGTAAATTCAATTATAAACCCAGTTTGGGGATAGGAAATGAAAATTGGGTTGGTAAATGCCCCATGGAGTTATTTTGAAAATACTGGAAATTTGATGAACTACCTTTGATTTCTCAAATGTGTAAACATGAAAGGAATTGTTGGCTTGTTGCCTTCTTTCTGTGAAAAGTTCCATTGGGAATATATTTTTTACACAGACTATTTTCTTCCCTCTACACAAATTTGCCTTTGCAGCATTTAGTTTTCTGTCACATATGGCAAAGCTGATAGTCAAGCCTGCCCTCTAGTGACAAAATGTAGTATTGCTTACAGAGCATTCTGAGGAATAGGCAAAACATAGATATTGTTAATCATATTCATCAGTATTTCAGTCATGATTATAGCTAATATCTTGCCCCGCATTTCCATTTATAAGCCCATATTTTTTGTGTGGGTTGCCATGTTGGTACTGAGTAGTTTGCTAGTCTTTGCAGTTTTCATTAATAGGGTTGTCATTCATTTGGCTGACAGTTACCAAGTAGCTTTAAGTGTGCTGTTGAGGATGTCTTGCCTAGTGATAGTAGCAGTGCTTTGCAGTTGACAAAGCACTTCACCAGTCACATAGCATCTGATCTTAAATAAACTTTTGAGACAGATGAGGAAACAGAAGCTTGTTAAATATTCCTGAGGCAACATTATATTAGAGTTGGAATGTCATCTGGCCCAGCCTTCTTCCTGATGCCTGTAGAAATCCATTCTGGAACAAAGATGTTTGGTATCTTTAAATATTTCTTAATGTCTTTTAATTTTATATCTTCTTTCTCTCTGGAGGAGTAATTAAAGTGATATATGTTTATTCTCTCCCCACTTTAATTTTCTTGAACTTACAGACCCAGAACATTTTGTGAACTTTGAGAAGTGTCTTTCTTCCATGAATAGCTCGGAAGAGATTTGCCTTCTAACTACTTTTGCTCAGATGGCTCAGGCCAGAAGAACCAATGTGGATGAAGACTTCATAAAAATTATTGTTCTGGAGATATATGAGGTTAGAATATTAAGTTTTAGAAATCAGCTAAAAACATTTTCTTTTGGATTGTCCATCCATTGATTCTTTTGGGATTGCTTTAAAAAAAATGTGACAATCTTGTATTGTCTGCACTTGTGGAAGGAGATCATCTCTAAGGAGTATTGAAAATATGAGCCACACCCATTCCATTTCCCCCTGCTATCTCTTGTCATTTGATATATGAGTTTTGGTAAGGAACAGACAGTCTGGCACTGCCTGACATTTGTAGTTTCTATACTTTTCTCTCCCCCTGCCCCGGACCCCCCCCC